CCTGTAATTTCAGATATCTCGTCATTCAACAAATAGTAATACGATGAAAAATGAATGCATCAATTATGAAGAGATGGCGAAAAAGTTTCATATTGATCACACCTATCAAAAACTTTATCCAATCATTTTATCTTATCGTTCTTTCCAGCATGAAACTATCATGGGAACAGAGAGATAAAGATGATAAGAAATAAATGACAATAATAAAGCGCTTTTAAGGATAAATGAGACAGATCAAATCACGCAATATATAATCGGTAACAATAATATGATGTAAAATGAAAGAATGGTGGTTGATAATTTGAGCGAGAATATTTTGAATGCAAGACAAGTTTACAGAATTATAAGAGCATTACCAGCTAGTCTTCAGCAGAAATAGCATTTTCAATATGTTTCATTTCGCCTATTCAATTGAGAGTTTAATCAGACTATTCGAATTTATGTCATAGATTCAACAAATTCATTTTAGAAAGGTAGCCAGTTAAAATGTATTTTTGTAAAACTGGTTTTGTAAAATAAATACGAATTCAAATGATAATTGTCCAATTAAATAGATTTGAATTCACAACTATTTCGTTGTTTTAACTGAAACAAGGAAACAGTTAGGAATTTTCGAAAAGAATTCGATATGGTGATAACAATATGCTGTCATTTAGAATAACATTTAGTTGCCCAAAATGTGGTGACACATTTGTAGAAGTTCACGAAGACGCCATGTAAAATTAATCTCAGATATTTTAAACGTAATGAAAAAAGCTAAATTTTCATTCGTTCCTCATATCTTTCCACATTCCTTCTGTTGCTCTTCGACGAGTAATTCCTTCATGATGACGTTTTCTTTCCTGAAACATATCAAAATCATATCAGTGTCACATTACTAAAGTTATCATTGAGATTTCTATCTATAATATGAAAATTCGAAATCATCCCAGGATTTGAAAAATTTCCCTTCTTTGCTGGTGTTTCAAATCCTGAATACAGGTTGAAGAGTTTTCTGATCAGTTCAGAATATTTCTTACACTTTCTCTATAAATTATGTAACTAGGAGAGAAAAAAAAGAGGTAAATTTTCTAACATATGGCGAAGAGCTGAATCTTCGCGTCACTTTATGACGCCATTCATCATTTGGAGTACGTACACCCATACTTTGATTCATCCGTTGTTTGGAAGCTGACGAAAGTTCTTCTTGCATCTTTTCCAGCTTTTCTACCTTTTTTTTAAGCTTCTAAAATCATAAGGTAAAATTAGTATGGTAGTGGTATACTGTAATGCCTCGCAATTAATAAGATACTGTGATGTCTACTCGCAATTAATAAAACATACTGTAATGTCTACCTCGCAATCAATCAAACATACTGTACTGCCTATTCGCATTAGATCAAAATTGCAAACGTGAAATGATGCATGAAATTTTAGTAGAAAATTGGAATAGTTGTAAGAGAATACCATATATCCATCGGTAAGAGAGATACACGATTCTCTCAGTTTACTCTTTTCTTCATCAAAATTCAATGTGGGAATATTCCTTCGATCAAGAAATTTCTTCATCAAAGCACTACCATAATCCAACACTTCTTCAATCTTTTGAAGATGACGTTGTTTATTATCAATGGCAGTAATTATATCGTTCATATTTTCAACATGATTTATTAAATCCGTATTTATTAAATCAATTCTCTGAAAAAAAAAAGAAAATCACTCTTAAATTATTACTTTTGAGCAGATTTATTTAATTTCCATTTAAGATAGGTGTAAGGTTAAATTCAGATTGTAACAAATAAATGAAATATATTGCTAAATGATATAAATGCTGTAAATTGCTATAAAAATTAATACTTGATTAGCATTTTCTACGTGACTTAATATTGTCGACATATTTTCAGATAGATTTCTTTGCTGTTTTTCCATAAACTCTTTCAACATTGAGTGAATCTTTTCCCGGAATTTTTCCTTGAACATCTGAAATAATCAATTATATTTGACACAATGGACGTAATCAATTTATAAACTATCATACAATCTCTCGTTGATAATGTCGTATCACATCATAGTCTCTAGTTTATCCATCTGTGCTTCTTATAATCTGATTGTATCCGACAAATTTGTGCTAATTTTCTCGACTAACTGCACCTATTTTCTATTTCTCATTTCTGCTACATTACGACAGGATT